GTAGATTTTTTTTGATTGTGGCTAGTTGGGGTCCTATATGCCTCGCTTATCTGAATGTCAAATTCTTCGCCTCTGTTTGGGAAGTTTTCTGTCATTAATTCTGTGAACAGCTTTTTTAAGTCATTTGTATTTTCTCCTGCTACTTCATGGATTCCTATCAGTCTTATGTTATTCTTCTTTGCGTCATCTAGGAGTTGTTGGATTGATTTCTCATGATCCCCTACTCTTTTTAAGAGACCTCTCTTTTCACAGTCACTGACCGCAATCTTATCTTCTATATCAGAGTCTATCTTCACATTCTTTTATTCTGTTGCATACACTTTCAGTGGAGTGTTTAATCTCCTGGATATCTGTTTGAATCTGTTTTATGGATTCCATTTCTCTCCTATGTTGGGCGTTTATTGTTTCCATTTCTTTCTTATGCTGGGCCTTCATGGCTTCTATAGTGGTGCTGAGCTCATCTATTTTTTTGTCAGTTTCTGTTCTAGAGTCTCGAATCACGACTTTCATTTTGCTCACCATCTCTATGGTTATCTGGGAAATTATTTCTGTTTTGAATTTTTCTAGAGCCTGATTGATCTGTTTTGTTACTTCCTGTGCTTTGAGTTCAGGGTTTCCTGGTGGTTCACTATCGGCCTTTTCATTCTCATTTGTCCTACTGTTTGCTATTGGTGAAATGGAAGTCTGTCTTTATGTCTTGTTTAAGTGTTTTCTCTTTTTATTTTTGTTGTCAGGCTGTCCCTGGTTTAATCTCTGGGTTATCACCCAAATCTTCCTGATATAGTTGCGCCCTAGCTTCTGGGTCTCTAATGACCCACAGACATTCTCATTTCCATAACATCAGAGAAAACAGCTTATTGAATCAACCACAATCCTTTATCCCAACCAGCAACACAATATGATCAAGCACAACTTGGCAACTGACCACCTGTGGTAGTCACTAGTCTATCACCCTTAAACCATTTGAAATAAATTGAAATCAAGCAGCAGTCCAAAACATGTCTGCAGTGAACAAACTTTTCAATGTAGTATATTTACCATTTAGGATGGGGGCTCAGACAGAGCTAGGACACAAGACCCCTGCTCTCAGTTAGTTGATGGCTGAACCCCATGATGCAGACTGACCTCGGGCTGCAAGGCCCAGATTGAGTTCCCCAACCTTCTGAACAGTTGAACTCCACACTTTTCTACTACAGGTTTACCATGCCCTTTCTTTAAAGATATTCAA